ACAGGATATACCGGTATCAAATAATAGACAATACCAGAGTATGTATTTTCAGCAACTCCAACTAGGAAGAGCACACTGGCTGGAATATCAGAAGCAAAAAGAGGAAGTACAAGTATGGGAAGAGCACCAGCTTACAGAATATAAAACATTACTAAAAGAACAGGAACTAGAGATACAAGCTATTAAACAACAATTAAGGAATGAGCAAGATCATAGCCGTCAATTAACAATAAAAGTAGAAAAAAAGGAGACAGAACATTATTTAGAATTACAAGAAAAAGATCAGAAATATCACCATCAATTGCAAGAAAATAAGGCAGAAAAAGAACTAGAAATACAAAGAATCTGCTTTCAGTTACAGGAGAGGCTGGAGAGTGAGAAGGCAGCAAAAGATCTAGAAATACAAAATTACCATTATCGGCTACAAGAAAAGGAGCAAGAGATGCAAGAATATTACCATCATTTTGATCAGTTAAAAGGAAAGGAGGCTGAAATCCAAAGATGTCATTTTCAGTTGGAGGAGCAAGAGAGGGAGAAAGCCAAAACAGACCAAGAAATACAGAATTATCATTACCAGTTGCAGGAGAAAGAAAAAATGGAGTCACTTAAAAACCAAGAAATACAAAGTTACCTTCAACAAATGCAAGAAAAGGAGAAGGAAATACAAATTTACTGTAATCAACTACAAGAGTACTGTCGTCAGTTGTCGAAGAAAGATCAAGAAATACAAAAATACCAATATCAATTACAAGAGAAGGAGAAAACTGATGCATTTTTAAAGCAAGAAATACAAAAATGCCATCAACAATTGCAAGAAAAAGAACAAGAAAACTTAAAGAAGGAGAAAGAAAAACAAATATACTATCAAAAAATACAAGAAAGTGAGAGAGAGAAGACAGAGACAAAGCAAAGGCATTCTCTACAAATGTCAGAAAAAGAAACAGAAATTCAAAGATGCCATCAACATTTAAGAAAAGAGGAAGTAGAGAAGGAGCAATATCATAATAAGTTAAAAGAAAATGAAAAGAAATATATTCAACAGTTACAACAGAAAGACATGGAGCTTTCAAAGAAGCAAAAGTATCTTTATCTTCGATTGGGAGAGAATGATACAATGAAGCAAAAAATGCAAAATTATGATCACGAGTTACAAAAGTTAAAGAAGGAGCTAGAAGATAAAGAAAAAGAGACACAAAGGCTTAGTCAGCTGTTACTGAAGGAGCAAAGAGAAAAAGATAAAAAAATCCAGCAACTATTGCAGCAAATACAACAGTATAAGCATCAGTTACAAGAAAATGATAGTACAATTCAAGTTCAAAAGGAAAAGGCTGAAGAAAAAGTTCAGGGGATCAAATTGCTTCATTCCTCACAAAGTATATAGTTACATAATTAAAATTTTTAATACTGACATATATTTTATTTACTTTTTACAGTGATGTTTGATGAGCATAAGGAGCAAGTACCCATGATGCCATCAAAACAGAAGGAGCAACTTGATACA